ATCATCAAGAACCTGCAAAATATCACCAGAAGAAGAAAACAAAAAACAAGTTGCGCAATGGTGGTTAACTCTCTAAACAGCAACAAAGAAAAGACGGCAATATTAAGTAACTTGCAGTGCTTTTTTATTGTCGTTTGTAAACAATTATTAAATTAATTTCCTTTGTTGGTAGACTTGTTACAAGTACTTCGTACAAAATATAATAAAAGTATGGACCCCGTTCACTACGAGATGTTAGTCTATATTAGTGGATTGAGAACTCTATGCTGCTGCTCTATTTGCAATTGTGAATGTCCGGGACTCTGTTTATCTTACAAATGATTTTAGCCATGATCTGTGGTATTACTGTACATTCCATAAATTCATGTACATTCCTAGTTCAGTTATGCGGTGAGGGTTTAACTTCTTCATTATATTATGAGCCACTCGTTGAAGGGTTGAGTTAGTATGACTTTGAATTGATTTTTAATAATCTGTTGTTAAGAGTTAAAAGCTTCCTGAAGCAGGTATATATTTTAAAGTCACTATTGTGACGGTACATTAGAACTAGACAGAAACAAAGAAGGGCCTGAACGGAACCCCTCGGTTTCAGTTCCTTGTTTATCATTTAATCTGTACTCTGCTGCTGCCGTGGCCATAATATCTTTTTTAGATTAAGTTGCGTGAGTTTGATGATTTTCAGTTCAATAATTAGTTTAATAGTTAGTCTGGGCCACTCAAAATTCTTGTACAGAAAATAGTGAGAGTAACACAAATTTAAAGTAACCAAACTGTTCGGTCGTACTGTCTAAAAATCTTAAACTCGGTTCTAATTATAACTCTAATAATTAACAACACCCAAATAATTATCAAAATAATTACGATGTGGTTGTATAATGACGAAGTAAATCTGACGAAGTACCGAGAAGGTTAAAATGTTCCGGAGATATGTACACTATTATAAAATAACATTCTTTGTAAAATTTGTATTAACATAAGATTGTCGTCGCGATGGCTGATATAATTGCAATTTTATAAATTTTATTGATTTATTATAACTATTGACAATCTCTAACATAATTTAAAGGTTGGGCTCGTTACCTTTTATTCCGAGCGACCTCAGTCGTATCCTACAAAAGAAAATGGATCAGTAATATGTGCAATTCTAATTGTATTGTGTATTTTGACAGCTCTGATGACTGTTTCTCGTTCGAGTAGAGAACTTAGTATGATCATATTATGTCAATTGTTAAAGGTCCCCTGCCAAACTCTGAAGTCTGAAAGGTCAAATCGATCTATTGGGAGTATTAAGATCTCACAACCTTCTCGTCATTCAATTAGCCATTTCTAACGGGCAACAAGTTATTTAGCATTAGTCTTATTAACGTAAGTTATTAGTGAATTAGAATAATTTTAAAAATAACTGGAAGCAGGTTCAATCCGAGTAGCAATTCAGTTGGGGTATCATGTCGAATTAAATTATATCAGTACATTTTCCTGTCAAATCATCTATTTGATGAACATTTGATAAAAATTCAAGTACAAATTTGTTACCTAGGCCAACATAATATAATCCTATAAATAAACTTCTTCGCCAGGTTCACATGGAATTTGTTGAAAAAGTATGTTGAATGATAGGCAGCTCAGTAGCATCATCTGGTAACTGGTAACTCTAGCTTTAGTTGGTAACTGGTAACTCTAGCTTTAGTTGGTAACTGGTAACTCTAGTAGTTAAAATAAGCTTCTCTTCAGCTCCCAGTCTGTCTTGATACCACATTTCAAATGCGCTGTTTTAGCGAAAGTGCGATTACTTTGTCCATCTTGGCGTTACTAAATCGAACAAACATGCGAACCCTCAAAAATGAAGGCTCTAAGGTTTCAACCTTATTCCTAATTCATTTCAGCTCTTTCGCTCTGGAGATAGATCATAGAACCTATTTTCCGTGTGTGATTATATTAATGATCAAAGGCCTCATGAAAATTCAGCTTACCGTATAAACACAGTTAGTCAGCTGCGGATGTAATATATTCAGACTAAGCCACATGTAACCTATTGTTTGAGCATAATTTATATTACCCTTAGTCATTGTTAATCAGGATCGCTATAATTAGCACTTGTGAGTTTTATAAGCTTTATTTTGTTTCCCTACATTTTGCCCACCTTCAAGTGTTCCTCTATTTATATTTTCTTCGGCCAACACTAACGCTAGCGTACGTCATACGCCAATGTCTCTCGCGCAACCAAGATTACATTACCACTGCAAAAAAAATCTTATTTAAGTATTTTGTGCCTAAAGATATTCAGGTGGTCATGTTGGTGACACCTGTCTTTCAAAAAGTGGAGCCCCAAATTTAGGGGCCAGCTATTCTTGTATGGGATTGAGATTGTTGGCCATTAAGTTTTGTACACTTTATCGGCCTGGCCATGTCGATTAATTTAGCTCCCTCCGCGCTGTTCGGCCGGTAGTACTGAATGAAGTTTCTTGACTTTTATGATTAAAATACGCCGCCTGATATTATCCTAGGTACCGGAACACCACACACACCAAGGCCAAGGTCTTTATCACGCAGCCTAGCTGCAGACCATGGTGTGCCTAGTGACAAATCACTAAAGAAGGCCGTCTCTGTTGTACAGCCAAAGCCTCAAGTCGGCAGTTTTCTGTCGAATGACAGCAGCCACCATATAAACGATACATCATACATAGTACAGGTTGATGACCTGACCATTGGTTAGTGGTTATCACCAATATAATTCGTCTCTTAGCACCCAACATTATATTCGGTCTGCTAACGGACGATCCAGGTTTTGTGCCGCCCTCATACAAGATAAACGTGGCCTTCGTTTTGATTTGTAATGCTTGTTTTAGTGTTTAATTTTGCTATCCACCGCCACAATTCAGACTTTCAGACCCTTTTCCTGCCATTTGTTTTTGAAATTAAGAACGAGGTGTGTTTATTGCTAATTATTTAAATCTTCTTTCTACTAGATAAGATTCACGTAGGCAAGACAGAGAACATAAAAGACTGTTCAGAAGAATTTCTCCTGCCTGATGTGACCGAGCGAATTGTTAGCCGGAGGGTCTGGTAGTGATTTTCTCTACGATAACAGCAAGAAACCGAGAATGGCGTTCGATTTTGGGAAGGGTGCAGTAAATCCATACGAAACCGCCATAAATTACTGTCTTGGAATTTTCATGCTAACATGTGTGCTGATATCAACATTCCTTAACCCTCTCATCCTATACAGCTATACCCTGAGACCCAAGTCAGTACAGAACTCTCTGTTTAAGGTGATCGCAGTATCTGACTTCCTGACTAACCTCATTCCTGGAATATTCGTGACTTACTGGTCCTTCACCTTGATAGATTTCGAGTACACGTTTCTCAATCAGTTGCCAGAGTTTCTAAGCTGCACGTTTGGTTGCGTCTCCCAGGTTACGACCAGCCTGATGGCAGTGACTCGCATGATCGCCATCATCAGACCTTTCTTTAACGTTGAGTTCAAGTTCGTCCTAGCTTACCTGATCTTCTACACCATCTACATGGGTGTTGGAAATAGCTGGGACTTGGTTTTAACGGGACTGAGCCATTCACAAGATAACAGCATATCCGCGATCTGGTCACATGGTACCCACGAGCACACGGGAACATACACCACCATAGAATCCCTGAACTCTCTCGTTTGTTTTGTCATGAACATGGCCCATTGCTTCCTGGGTCTGCTCTGCAGCTTCATTGTGGTAGGATATCTACAGAGGATTACCCCCATCGAAGGGTGCGCTGCTTCACACGCGCGCAAACTAAAAGTCAGCCACACCATTCTCATCATGAACATCCCGTATATCATCTCTATCATCAGCAACTTCCTAGCGTTTTATCAAGTTGTTGAGATAGACTTTAAGCTGGTGAACCATTACGTGCTTCCTATTCTGACGAGCGCGTATAACCCTTGTGTGATAGTTGCGCGCACGGATGCACGCAAGCTAGCTATCAAGACGGCGAAACGTGAGCTACATGATTGGAATGAAGCGAGAAAGGAAAGGAAGAAGAAATGGACAGTTCCATCTTGTCAGATTGTAACAAGCCAGGTTGTTTTGACAGATTTTGTCCACAATGACAAACGGATCTTTATGGGCTGATATTTCTATTTAATCTGAATATTGGTTGAGGTGAAACATTTTTCTTCTCACAAAAGACGGCGATTAACCAATAAGCTTCCAGCATTGGCCGATCAAATCCCAGAATTAGTGTCACGTGTCATAACAAAAATGATTCACTCCAATCACTATTCAGACTTATTTGGTGATCATAGCCCTCCAAATAGAGAGACACATTGTTTTCTTAATAAAACTTTAGCTTTAGTGTCATTGATGCAAATCTTTTTTTTCCATAAAACCTGTGACTGAACCTTGTATTGAACCTCATCAAATAATGGTCAACGTACGCCAGTACTCGAGAGAGCTAATGATTATTTCAAACATGAGATGTTTATGCACTATGATCTACTTTTACTCTTTTTAGATAGAGAAATGAAAACGACTAATGTGGGAACTTTCAGTTACCTACTTATACTTGTGACGTAGTGTGACTGCCACAAATTTACGACCTTAGAGGTCATAAGGATAGTAATACCCGTAAACGTCTTAGATTGACACGGCAAGACATCATAAAGTTGCTAAAAATGTGTATGTTATTTTTTCCTTCCTTGAAATTCTTGTTTCTCTGAATTCATATCTTCAATTGAGGATCTTCCCCAATTTCTAGTGATAAAATTTTAAAATTCCATGTTTAACACGCAGTACAGCAGTGTTCCATCTGAGAAATCGATGAAAGGGAAGAGGGAGGGTAGACCCGTAGACATTAGAAACTGTATCCAAGGACGACTAGCAAGTACAATTATCAGTATTATATTAAAGCTCTAGCACAAGATAAGAGCAGATAAATAGATAACGAAGGCTTATCATCAGTGAAATCTTCAAAGAAAGAAAATTTAAATAATCTAACCAAGTTGTATCTCCCAGAGAGTCACAGTTTACCGGAGAGAAAGCAACGAAAACTGGGACGAACCGCAGGTACAACCATGTTACACGGATATTTGTACGATACGAGCAACGCATTCTGTGTAGCTAACTCGCAGAATATGTGGAGAATGGCACTTAGGAAGAGCTGTGATATCGCTGATATCGGCACATTGGTATGTGGATTATTAATCTTGGTGAAACTCTGATGAAACTCTGCTCTATAGTTGCTATAGCTGCATGTTTTATGGCATAATTGATATAACTGATAATGCTAATGATGGAAGATATAAACCCCTGATAGTATCATTTATGGACGATGTCATTATAAACCTGCCCTGTTTCAGATATCCATGTTACATTCCCACATAATTTGGCCTGAACTGAGGTCTCTGACAGTCCTGACAGAGAATCAGTATATCTGTGATGAAAGCACATTCGTGCAGCGGATTATTGGTAAGACATTTTGATTTCCATCAGTTGTGATATGGAAAACAAAAATTTCGATTGTTGTTTTCAGAACCATGATCTGCCTTGATTCATCCTTCAGCACAGAGAAAAGCTCCTTTTTTTATACATTATGATTACAGAGGATCTGATATTTAGATATATATTGCTGTGCTGTAAAAATTGACTTTATTTATTTATTTATTTATTTATTCAACAATAATATGAAGGATAATTATAACGAATGTATATAGTGGATGGTACTGGATATTTCACTTCTTCTGATTTCTAACACAGATAACTTCAGTGGAGAGTCGCCAAGATAAAAACAATGAACTGGCCAAGCAATACAAGATCGTTGTGATGAAACAAAAACGAAATGAGTGAGTGTCATGTTATAAAAAAATAGAAATAACTTCTTAGCTTTCTTATAGTAAACTTACAATTTAGAACGATATTTTGAATAAAGATTGTATCATAGCTGTACGTGATCATGCTGTTCAACGTTTACATCTTCAGTGAAGAGTTGCAAGAGATTCCAAGTGCTTCCATCAAGACAGCTATGTTGGAATTGGACGAAGGGATCCACGACATATGGGTATCTGAAGATATGGTTACCTTGGGTGAGGCCTATACTTATCTCTATAACCAGGAGAAACTGAAGTCTATCGAATCTGCTAAAATTCTGGTAAGTCTCCTGTTTTCGACTGAGCTGGCCCACTTAAACGTCGCGTCCTGTTTGAAAGAGGCTCGAAGAGCCACAAAAACTAGCAGAATTTCAAGCTATTCGTATTGAAAGCGCGCTTGCTATACATCGAGTAAATTGCGCGCGCATGGCGGGATTATTCAGTTTTTATTTCCCGCGTCTGACAGCCATTTGTTGTGTATTGCCACATACACGTCTGGCTACATGCGTTTCAAAGGCCTCGCTTGTTAAGATTGATATATTTTCAGGAAGAAAAGAAGAAAGACGCTGCCAAGAGTGAGACAGATTCTTTGTTACCCAGATGGCAGGGAGAAGAGTCTGCTGACAAGAAATACTATGTTGATTCTGAAATGTAAGCCATTTGAGAATTTGAGGAATGATACTTTGCATGACTATTCTTCCCATTCTTATCTTTGTGTTAGGAACCATTGAAATAAAACATTGACAAGCTTTATTTCAGATCAACTGTAGTACGCAGAGTACTCACCAACATTTTGGACAGAGTGGAAATGGAGGACATGCGGGAGAAAGAGAGGAAAGGAAAGAGAAAGAAGGCAAAGAAACCTTTGGGTAGAATGCCAGGGAGGAGTGCAGATGAGAAGGAACAGATCAAATACTTTGGAAAACTTGACATTCTTCTCGGCCGCAGAAAGGTACGTTTCGTATATCGTTGGTAAAATGTGATGGTTTTTATATTTTGATCCCCTCGGTCAACGAGGTTGTGGTTTATTTCTAATAACTAATATCGTTTAATTATTTTATCCAAAATGCACATGATTTTCTATACAAATCATCGTTCGCGTTATGCATGACATAGTTTTGCATGACGAGTTTGCACGAAGACATGCCCCACCCTTGCTACTCACCAGGATTACTTACTTACTTTGAGCTTTGTCAAATTTACTAATCATAAATTATCTTAGCGATGGATAATTGTGTTTTTATTGGACATCATAACATATCTTTTTGTCATATCACCTATTTCTGGACCCCCACTATCTCTGAATCACAAGCAACAGTCACAATGATTTTTCCAACCTTGACTGCTATGCTTCTCATTGCTGTTGCTTATAGCTTGTGTGGCGGTGAAATAAGAAAACAGACCTTGAAAGAAATCTACTACAGAAACAAGCTGTTAATTTATTTTAAGGAATATGCCGGGAAGAATATGTATAATGCCATCAAGAGTGGATCAGTTCCTAAAAAGACGATCCTGTTCATCAGAAACCCAGGACAGGATTGGCAGACCTACGAAGTCTGGAGTAAAGAACATCCTCCTGGATCAGTGTATGAAAATAATGACGAACTTTATCTGTACAACGTTTCTGCCAAGCTACTTAAATACATTCAAAATATATGCACACCGTTTTTTTGTAAATGTCTGACTTTTCCCAAATGCATCCGGATGATGTTAGTCACAGCAAGCATTTTCATAATACCCGCTATTAAATTATTGTGGGATGTTATTGACGTCGCAATCGATTGTTTTTATTTTGCGAGGCTTGAAAGAGGTCTGTTAATTGACAAGGACATAGCAAGAAATAACCACGTCTCAAATGCGATACTGGCTTTTGCTATCCTAGGAGCTTTAAAATCTCCATTACTGAGCTATGGTATTGCTAAAACTACTGAAAGACAGACTGTTTACGACAATTCTGTAGTCAAGTTTCTAAGTCCAATGGTTGTGTCTGTAAAGATAGTTTTTGAAGACTGTGTAGAATTGTTACTAGAATACTTTTATGTTGACAAATACGTGACAGAGAGTCAACCTTGGCTGCTTATCTTAAAAGACGTTGTGAGTGCGTGTATCTACATCATGCCTCTCCTGTCACTAGTAATGTCCGGTAGGAAAGATTTTGATAGAATTCAACACCGGTCGAATGACGTTTGCTTCTTTAACCTCAACCTAACAATCAAAATATCGGACTGGTGGCATGTTTACGTTACATTCCTAGCGGTTCATGTTACATTCAGTGTTGTGGCGACAATCAGAATTTTCGGTATGATTTTCCAGTATTCCAAGCAGAGCTTTCCTCGTGAGTGTCTCCATGTGATTCATGGTAGATTAGAACAAACTCCATTTCACCATGGATGCTTGAATGGATTCGACTACGCTATTTTATTTTTCATGAGTTTCCTATTGCCCATCGTGTGTCTTGCGATTCTGATCACCTGTGGACGAAAGATCAGCAAAAGTATCGGCAGAAAATTCAACAAAACAAGATTTTTGTTAAATGGAGTGGAAAGCCAAGGACGATCATCCAATGGAAAACTTGTGTATCTACATGGCTATTACAGACTCAAGAATCACTTCGATCCATCCCATTTAGAATTTCGGCAGTGGATGTCTAGATCCAACGAACCTCGAGTGCTGTAGTTCTGTACGAGCAGGCTTTTAATTTTGTTAAACCTGCTCGATATTTTGCTAACAATAATTAGTGCCTGAGGCATGATGATATGTTTAAATTGTTTTCTTATTATGTACACACTAAGTTGTCAGGTGTCAACTTGAGTTACCAGTTAAATGTACAGATAGGGGGATTCAATTCAATGTTTCTTTTTGTTTAATGTTCATATTGATTTCTTCATTTCAATAACGTTTCATTTATTCTTCTTAGACTATAAATTCTAGCTATAAGCTGTATATAAAATTTGCATAAACTTTGGTACAAATGTACACTGTACAGTCTCTACATTTTTTTATTCTAAACACTCATACAGGAACAACTGAAGAAAACGTTCTTCAAGAAGAGACAGTACCTTGCTCACAAGATCAGGGAAGAGATCAAGTTTGAGGAAGAAGAAAACAAGAGAATTGCAGACAAGATAATGAGGGAAGAAGAGGAAGAAATGGCCCAGAAGAGGAAAAAGACACAGGAAGCTGACAGAGTGAGTAAAAACGAGTATTTTTATGACACTATTTCGTGTATATCTTAAGAAATAAGAATTTGATTACCGTAGCAAACACTCGACACCTTAAAAAGTGATACATTTTGAAGTGGAACATGTTAATTGCTGATTAAAATCTTAACATATTCTTCTTCTTCAGCGAAAGAAAGATAAGGAAAAGAAGATCAGGAAAGCCCAAGAGAAGATCGAGAAGAAATTACTACGTCTTCAGAAAAATGTGGACGACATGAAGGACACGAGTGTTGCAATGAAGAAACCCAAATCTCCTGGCCGACCGTCCTTCAAATCTCCTGGTCGACCCTCGTTCAAATCACCTAAAGCGAAGAAGGGTTCCATCAGAATAGAACCACAGTTGATTAAACCTGTGTACAAGAACAAATTACAGCCCAAGACCAAGTTCAAATTCCCACCTAAGAAACCTGTGGTTAAAAAATCGTCAGGAAAAATGTCCCTAACCCCAACTATTGCCAGTGAGTTGTTACTTATTTCCGAATTATTGAGTTGTTATGACTGCTTCTAAAATCTGGATCTACTTGGCTATTTGTGTTCTCGTATCAATCATTTATTTTCCTTCCAATTAGGAAGTTATAAAATACTTTTTTTAGCTACACCAGAAATTTGACCCAATTCAAATTTAACAGGAGTATCATCATCACCAGTCTCAAAACCCGGCCCTAAATCCAGAATCAGACTGCCCCCACTAGACAAACCAAAAGATGTGGAGAAGATCCTAGGCAAACGAAAATCTAAACCCGCCCGACCAGGTACAGCAAAGAGGCTCTGTGTGGAAATCACCCCCATAAAACTCTCCAAACGAAAGAGGGAAGCCTTGGAACAACGGCTGAACAAATACCAGCGTTCCATTGCTAGAAAACTTACTTCAAACGATATTTCACATCCTACTATTGACTTTGGTGCTAAGAAGAGGCCGACTCTGAAGTTGAAACAGAAGAGTCCAAGTGCAGGTAGATAAAAACTCGATCAGAGAGAGGTTACAGAAGTTAAGAAAGATGGCCTCCGCTAAAAACAGAGGAAATGAAGTCCTGGCTAAACTTCTCATGAAGCAAGAACTCGTGAAGAAACTCGCAGCTTCGCAGAAGGTAATTTCTCACATATAATTGTTATGAAAGTATGCAGCATCTCGCATAATTATTATTACATTATATTTTAAATGTAAAACTGTCAGTCTGGCCAAGTTAATTTAAGTATTTTATAGTAACATTATTTTTACTCAATTAACTTTGATAATGTCCTTGTTTATCTAGAATTCTGACAGTCAATGGTAAACAAATAGCAATGAACATGTAATTTAATTGTGCAATCAGCCACACCATTATCAACTATTAAAGTTATGTCTCTGTCCGCAGTTTCGTAGCTTTATCCGTCTCCAACTGAGTTCTGGTTCACAAAACATTACATTTCTCCCACATCAGGACAAGCCTAGTAGCGAAGTCCCAGAAAAGCGCAGCTCAGGAGTTGTGTTACAGAAGAGCAGCAGTGCTGCCCGTCCCGGTGCCGGAGTCATGCAACACCACAAAGACCAAACAAACAAAGTCGCCCCCAAGAAGAAAGACACCCTCTACTGTATCTGCAAGCGACCATACGATCACACTCGATTCTACATCGGGTGCGATGTGTGCAGCAACTGGTTCCACGGCAAGTGTGTGGCCATCTCACCGAGTATGGCACGCAACATGTCTGGTTACACGTGCGCTGAGTGTAAAGTGAAGACAACCAGCACCACCACCAGCTCAACATCAGCCACCACCTCCGCTGCCACCCTACCCAGCAAGCAAGAACCTGCAGCTGAGCCGGAAGGGGATTTGTTCTGCATCTGCAGGACGCCCTACAATCAGTACAGCTTCTACATCGGGTGTGATTCGTGCCAGGAGTGGTACCATGGCACGTGTGTGGGGATCAGTGAGATGGAGGCAGAGAAGATTGAGGTGTACATATGTGATAGGTTGGGATATTTTCTAACGTTAATTTTAACCTTATATATAGGTATTATATGCTTATTTCAAGTGCTTGATCATAAAAAACAACCTATCATTGGTATGTACAAATGGTACTCTACACAGTTAGATATTTTTGTCTTTCTCTATTATTTAAATTATCCGTTGGGCCACTAAACACAACGTTACAGGTGTAAGCAGCAACAAGGACGAGAAGAGCCGAAGTTAACGCACATCCAGATAGCAGGCCTCATAAAGATCCTGCGGGAGCTGCAGATGCACAAGATGTCATGGCCCTTCAGGGAGCCTGGCAAGTCCGACTCTGAGACTGATGTGATCAAAGAACCCATGGGTACGCTGAAGCTTCACTTCATAAGATAATGTGTATTTTGAGGAAGTGTTTTATTGATATTCCTCGAGCATAGATGGCCTATTCGAGTTTGCTTGACTTTAATTTTTATGTTAAACAAAATTATGATTGATTGATGTATATTTCCCTGCAGATCTGAGTACGATACACAAGAAGTTCCAGAAGAAACACTACCCCAAACTCACCCTCTTTGTCAAAGATGTCCTCAGAGTCTTCTCCAACGCCAGACAACTTTACTCTGAAGATTCACAACGTGGCCGATGTGCTGATACCCTTGAGAGGTACTTATCAATAATTTGTCATTTTTGGTTGGAGTGTATTGTCAATAGACATTTGAGAGCTTTTAATTTTAGATAACATGATCTAAAGAACACTCAACGCATGGAATAGCTTATATTTTAGTTTTATAGTTTCTAACGCGTTAGCAGTCAGGCGTAGATTAACCTCACCTCCTTTTTATGGTATTTGCGGGAAAATCGATCTCACTAACAAATTCTTCTCAGGTACTTTGTGGCAAAGTTGAACGAATTCAAGCTCCGGCACGGACTTACACTAAGCTAGAAGTTAGCAGATTCCAAACAGATAAATAGTACTGCAATAAAACTGTGACGCTTCTTCTTGGGTTATTTGCACCGAGCACGACGGGAGTAAACGATAAAGTTTTAAGAACCATAGTTTAAAGTTTAAATCTTGAAAGTTTTAAATATTTAATTTCATCGCACGATAAAGTGCGTTTTGATAATCACAAGTTAAACTCTGTGTATAATTTGCTCAGAATATCTGATTAATTTCTTGGTTTTCTGTGTTTTGATTTACGTTGACGAACAACAGCCGATAAATCAAATTATTTTTATTGTTACGAAGTTACAATTATATGAAATGACGGCTAATTTCTGTTTTATTTTCTTGTACAAAGGGGGGCGTGCAATCCAAAAAATCATCTGCGCTGCCAGAGCAAATTTTTCTGAAAATGTCCGTATTTTTCCATAGAAAAGGGGAATGTGTATCAAAGGAATAGGTCACTGCCGGTTATCCTTAAAGTACCGCTGGGAACTACTATGTCCAATTCTCATTCTTCTCTGTGTCAATGATTTAGGTCAGTACTCGAAAGATTCAAACAAAGTAGCTTTGCCAATGACACCAGAATAGGCAGAAAAATATAAACGTTGAATGAATCTAAGTAGATTTATTCGATCGTCCGACGGCTTAGTTCCAATTTTCGTTATCAGTTTTTTGGATTGCAAACCCTCCACAAAATGAAACACAGTCCTAACAAGTTTTGAACAAATCAGAAAACGTCAGTTTAAACACCAAATACATAAAAATAAATAACTACAATAACAATACTATAATTATTGGGGTACGCTGTTGAAACATTAAATTTAATCAAACTGGGAGCACTTCTTTAACGAAGATCATAAAGATTAAGGACAATATAAACCGGTTACGACTGGTGAGTAGCATGCAAATACGTTAAATTCCGCTATTGAATTTTGCAATAACAAATACAATCGATGTACTGAGTACATTGTACAAGTGCACAGTTCAGTCGTATCGTACGTACAATGCGCCGCGCAAAGAAAATGCTGACAGAGGAGATGCTTTAGATGAAAATTTATGAAAATGTGGACGAGGCGTCAATAGTTCTACAGCTCTGTGTGGTCATCTGCGGAAGAGGCGAAGGCCCCAAGAACATTCAGACGGACAGTGAACTGATCTTTCTTCTCATCACTCATGCTTCCCTCTGAAATGGGGAGAAGGTTAATCATAAATCATCTGAAATAATTAATAGCACATTATTAAAGAGGGTTCATACAACCTATTGAGGGCGCGAAATGGAGTGTTCAAAAACCGAAGCTGGGTGGTTTGGTTTTTGTTGTATCAAAACGGACTTTCACTTTCAAAGCAGAACTAATAGTCCGTAGGACGGGCATACCACTAGAAACTTTAAAATATTTGCGACAACTCACCGAGCATTCTGGATAATCTTGAAGTTTCAGTATTAATAAAGTCATCACCCTTCTCGATAACCTTCTTCATGACCTTGTGGTAGTACTGTGCTTCCCTGTAATACGAGTACAAGTTACATAACGTGATGTAATTTGAGAGTTACCGGTTACAATGTGATAAGGAATTTGAAGAATTGAAACGGAATTCACAGATGAAGTGTTTTGGTAAATGGATTCACCGCGACACATTCAGTTGTATGTGTGAACGTTGATATCAAAATCGAAAGTCAGAACTGAAATTCTTCTGTATATCACAGAACACAAAATCAAACTTACACACTCAGAAAACCAGTCAAAATCATTGTAAAAACTCACTTTTCCATGTCAGCACTAGCAACAACCGTCTCTTCCATAACAGCGGCCTTTTCTTCAGCACCCATAAACTTGGCAGCGAGTACGTCCAGCGCTTCAATACGGCCAGCATCTCCAGCAAGTCCTCCTCCTGATACTCTCTTCAGTCCACATTTCTCGTTCAGGTATTTGGTGAAATCTTCTTCTCCTCGGCCACCGTTGTAGGCTTCGCCTTCTTTGTTGTCTTTAGAGAAGAATTTTATAGTAGGGAAACCAGAAACACCGAACCTGATGGAGAGAGTATGGTCAGACATCTCTTAAAAAGGTTATCTAGCTTATTAATTAACTAAGCATTCAATTCAATCTGGTTCTCCAGTTCAACATCAGTAAAATATTAGGAATGCAAACATTGGGTTTACATATATTATATGTACATACAAAATACGAATGTCATTATTGTCATATTCTAAATGGGTATAAACATTAAACAATCAAGACAGTAATTAAATAAACGTACCTTGAGCCAAGTTCCTTCTCGCTGTCAGCATCTACCTTAGCAACAACACAGTTCTTATCTGACTTGAACGTCTTACCAACTTCCTCGTAGATTGGAGTTAACTTTTTACAGTGTCCGCACCCTGAAAAGTAAAATAGTTACATCTCAGTTTTATGTTACTTCTTTTTAAGTGAAAGTTCTAATGACAATGGACGAGGGGTTTATGTCACACACTTAGGAATTGTTCACACATTAGGTTAAAGCTATTGTTTGGAACTTTATACCTCCTCCCCTTACTTTATACCCCTCCCCCTTCGTAAGCAAATTTATACATAGTTATTATGTAGAAATTACATAAACGAAAGTTTTACCAAAACCCTCCCCAGTTTCTACTTAATAAGTAAATCATAAATGATCCCTTATTACGTAACCAAACGTATTCTTACAACACCTGGGGACCCGCCCATTAAAACAGGGGGAAGAATTGTAATGGATTATGTCTGGCCTTTTAAAATACACTTCAGCTACTCCGATGACCGAGATATCAAGCATGAAGAGTTTATTCAATACGTGGGATAAGATACAGGTTTGACGGTGTCGTAGCACCGCTATCACATGATTACCCGATCAATTTTGATAATTTTGAACCCGTTACGAGGATGGCTCGCCCTGCACTAGTGAAATTGTGCAGTTCTTGTCAATTCTTTCGTTTTGCCTAAACTCCCTAGAATTTTAATCAACGAATTTCCGTCGATTCAAATCCGTCAATTCTAATTAAAAGTCCTGATGCAGTTAATCTATCAGATCATGACAAGGCAGTTTTCAGGCAGCAGAAGTGGGTCATATTAGGCCATGCTCATGTTGGCAATTAATCTTCATTAACAGTTTAAATTGCAACACCGGGGACGGGAGTATCACATTTTTTCTTGATATTCTCCGATTGCAGAATATTTAGCGAAGAAATGGCTAAATAATCTTCATAGGGGGATACACTACACTTTTTTACACTATTTTACACAACACTTTTGACTTTTTTGGTGTATGGTGTAGTGTACCCCCCATGTTCATGTATGTCGTAATTTCCTACTCATTTCTATTCTCATTTCTTGGAAATTCATTTTTAATTCGAATGCATTAAATTCGATTTTGTCTCTGATTATTTAATTACTCATTCAAGGTAGGTTGCTGGAGGTAGGTTAGGTCATGCGTCATGCTCATATCGCCAGCTTCATTAACCCAGTTATCAGGGGATTTTAGTTCTTTTCCACTCAGTTCTCCCTTCCCATTTTATTGTTATATCGAGAGTTTAATTGTGATCAATGATAGACGGATCAGTATATTTACCCTATATTTTAACTCACTTGTACATGGTATAATGATACTTTGGAGACATGATTTAACAGTACACGTTCACAGCTCTAACTCGTGCTAGTGTCGAACTAGAGTAGTCGAACTAGAGTAGTCGAACTAGAGTAGTCGAATCTGATTTAAAGCAGTAGGTTGGATAATGGGTTAAGTCTGAGTCTGGATGTCAGTTTTAGCTAATAATCCCCAAGATCACGTGGTAATTATTTATTACTGTCAGCCAATTACAGCCGCCAAAAACCAGACATTCGACCTTACACCAGTATAACCGAACTGCTACAGCTAGTTAGTTCAGCTAGTTAGTTCCATGGTCTGGTCGCGAGTCATAACCATATAATAATATTGGGTAACTTTATTGGATGCTGCTATATTGTTACTTTAGACTTGGCCCGCTAGCTTATGTTTTAATTCCTTGTGGTAAAGCGAGTTCTGTTTCTGGACGAATAGTTTTTTGGGCGAGGTTGGATTTCACAGCTGTTCCAGCGTTTAACTTTTAAGTAGTTTAATTGGCGGGGTGGGAGTTCACAGGGTTATTTGCGTGATCTGTTTCTGGGAACTCTGGAAGTTTTGCAGAAGATAGGTAGGGGAGAATATTGACGATAGCTAATCATGGCAGACGCACATTATATTGATTATAACCAGTTAGCAACCAGTTAGCACTGCTCACACGATTAGACAGTTCGGGAAGGGGTTCTGTATTTAGCTTCGAGTAGTTTCAGAGCAGTTTCAGGAAAGTTTCTGCAATTTCAGAAAGTGTTTTATTAAATCCATGAGGATTTGAAGGATTAGCCAATACTCAATGGACTGTCAGAATAATATAATTTTAAAGCTGTCATTGGCGTGGGTTGGTAACTGTCCAGCTCCGTCCGCACCGAAGTGATTGACATGTACCCATTATCTTGACAGCACCATTCGTACTCTTGCTTATCAATGCTACATAAGGACCTGATTTAGGATTCTCACTACTTATGTTAAGGTCGTTTATATCTATGGGAAGCAGAAACCGTTCAAACCTGTTTATTTATTGGGCTACCTTGTCACCTTCAACCCTGTGTCATGATATTAGTAGTGGATGCGATTCGCTTTTGAGGGGTTGCGTTGGTGCTGCGAATTCTTTGTCCGCTGATAGCCACAATCAGGATTATAGAACTGACTTACTTGAAGACCTGTCTCCTTTACGGGTAGTTTCGGGTACCAGTAAGACAGAAGACAAGGGTGGAAACCCTGTACAATCTACTCCTTTGAAAGAAACAACTGCTAGACGGATGGAAGCCGTCTAGGATTAACCAGTATACCGGACCGTACCAAACCTTAGTCCTCCGGGCTCCAAATTCCTAAGATTCCCAGACCTCAGCTTTAGACATAAACGATTCACCAATTTTTACATTGTCTACGAATACCTATTTATCCAGATTTGCTTTTGTCTGTATTTTACTTATGTCTACAAAGTAAGCATGACTTCGAGCATATCCTATTGTTTAGAAAGTTCAGATATTTTTAGTTTTACAAATTCAAATCAACACGGTTAAGAATTCGGGGGCAGTCTTCCAATCCCTCATTTTATTGGCTAATTTTAACATTTTTATTTTGTGGATATATATTCAACGTACTATTTGTTTCACTTTATATCATGTACTTTTCTCGCAATATCTTTCTTGGACTCTCTGAGGTATGGAGTTATGCAAAGACAGCCTATTTACTGACATTTCCCATTTGATTATATTGATAACATTTTATAATAAATTAAAAATTTAATTAATTAATTTGCAACAACCCATGGAGCAAAGGCCCCTGCCCTCTGGCTCAAGAGTTGTCTGAGTAGATGTATTGATAAAAGGGAACACACGGACTAGTCATTACTCATTACTGTCAATACTCATTACAACTGTGCTGTACCCCACCCAATACTACAGGGTGGGCCAAAAGTCAGTGTGCAAACGTTGGGTCTTATACCTCCGCCGTGTTTTATATTTGAGAGCTGTTGCTTTGCAGATGGCATACTGTACTTACTGGTTCGAGGATTCCGTCGTCAAAATTTGAAAATTCGAATATTTTAGACCACGCCCATTCAATATTAAAACACCTATATTGTTTTCTCTGAACATGCTGAACGCCTAATTTTTTCAGAGACGGTAGATTATCAAATGTTGCATATGATCTGAAAACATGAGGCAAAACGGATTAGAAATGACGAACATAATGTTTAACGGGGTAGTTAACGGGGTCACCTTATCACGTGATTAGGTAAACCAATCACCTGATCACACATAATGAATAAACTCGTTATGCTTCATATCTCGGTCATCTGAGAAGCTACAGTTCTAATTCTTTCAGGACAAACGTAATTCGAATGGCCAAACACAATTCAATAACATTTAGCTTGATCCGACTATCCTAACTATCAAATAAATGTGAAAATGAACCTCCATTTGAAAAAAATGAACGCGAATATTTTTCGAGTTGACAAATTCCTCGAACCAGTGGTGGTACTAAGTCATACCAGAAGGAAGTATTTCAATTGGGCACTCAGTGACTGAGCTATTAAGGCCAACGTTTGCACACTGACTTTTGGCCCACCCTGTACTAATGACTGATGAGTTACCAATGTATATAATAGGGCACTCAATAATCTAGGGGATCACAATCCAGGGAAATCAGTCTATTTCCTCTGCTGGCTGCTGATGTTCTGTTAATCCAAGGTATCTACTATTGACTTGGTATAGTCGGTTAGGTATGTACGTGGTGGAACAAATTTATCTTTCAATAACCAGTGGATAGTGCAAGATTCTCATTATTAAAACTAGAATATCTCCCTGGTAGCACATTCTTCCCCGTACCATGTGTAACTTCGAACAATCTAGAAGACGAAAGAGTAGCCTAAAGAGAGACAGGCTTTCACTAGTTCCACCTGCAATGTGGTCTAGGTTGCAATGCATGAGCCGGTATATCACAGAGGTTAATCTATTGTTTAAGGGGTGTTTAACCTGGGCCGGCCTGCTTTCGTCTGGAAGAAGGAATGCTCATCCTTGTGTGTATGCTTGTGTGTATGCTTATGTATGCTTGTGTGTATGCTTTATGGCTTGGGACTCACAACTTTCCGGGGATTCTTATTTTTCGTCAAGTATTTTGTAGGCATTAAGAAACGTAGATTCTATCGGCGTGCTGCCAGGCATTTGTAACTTCTTAACTTCCCACGTTTCTAAAGAGCTAATTCTGCCAACACAAAATTGCCAAATATGTCCTGTTCACGCCCGGTAATGGAAGTGGCATTGCTAATGGCTACTTCGTGATTGCTTTAAGCGTTGAACCCATTCTCTGCATATTATTATATACTTATATTTATGCTCCTGTAGCTGGGACCCGTCTCGTATATAACTAATTTGCTATACTAGTCGGTTACTATATTTAATACCTTCACACAGTTTGCTGCAACAGTATACCAATTTAATGGATCATTTCGACGAAAAGCATGCCAATTTACTTGGGTGTTTCACTGAAACCTTGACCTTAATTAATTAGAACTAGAGATGCCCAGTATTTATCATTATCTCGAACTTGTCGGCATAACAACTCAAATCAAATCTAAAGCTCTTAGTCGACTAGTCCAGCATTTCATACATTATCTCTTGGCACAAGAGATTGTCTTATGTCCTTGTTTTACAGCGAGTAAGGGGTTACTGGGCCATTCTTTAACGTTCCCACATTTTCATATTAATCCGTTATTGACTTGGTCTTAAATTAAGAGATCGTGTTAGGCTGAATATCTAATCATGGGAT